GCTCTCCTGGGCCACCAATGCAGGGGGGGCTGCCCCACATCTCCCCCTTTGCTCCCGCACCTCTCCCTGCCCCACGTCACCTGCCGCTCCATGGCCACCTGCACCTTCTCCGTCCTTACATTGTCCGTCCTTGTGCGGTCCTTACATCGTCCAGCTTCACGCCGTCCGGCTTCACGCACCCTCTGGCTTTGGTAGCAGCGAGTGTCCCCGGCTGTGCCCTATAGATCCCTGAGAAGCCCCTCCAGCAGCCTCAGTCTTCTCTTCCCGGCAGCCTGGATCTCATCGCGGCTGAGGAGGAGCCCAGGTAGACAGTGAAGTCCTTCACCTGGCCAGACCTGTGGATCAGAACGTGCTTCTGACCCACCTTCCCTGCGCACGTGGAGCATGTCAGGTGTCCCTGTCCTCCAGCCATCTCCATCCGCACCCTTGGGGACCTCATGCAGGATGCGAAACACCTGCCCCGCCTGCGATGCTGGAGGTGACGCTGGAGATGATGCTGGAGATGACCCTGGAGGTGCTCCACCACACGTTTCCCTGCCCGTGTACACATGGCATTGGCTGCACCAGTGGGACAACTGAAACTCTTGCTCTTACCCCTGCTCCTCCATGTCTTCTGGTGCCACCTTCTCTGGAGCAGGAGGCTTCTCCAAGGATCAGAGGCATCAGACAAGACTATTCCCCTCCCAACGAGGTGTTCCCTGCCTCTGATGGTGACTACTGCTCTCGTGGCAATGTTTGCAAGAGAATGCTCCCCCAAAATCAGCGCCCCGGCCCGAGGAGCAGTGTGGGAAATGACTTGAAACCCAGATAAAGGGGGTACAGCAAGCTATGACTTGATTTCTTCCTACCTTGGTGGCCATTTCCACCTTATTCAAGTTTGTTTTATTTTATTTAAACAACCTGGGGAAAATAAATAATTGGCAAAAGGAGCTTGCTTTGCCTACCACCCTCCATACAAAGATCTCCCCAAACGTTTACCATGAGGCAAGCGTTTCTGGGGGTGGTTGACACCAAGCAGCCATCACCAATGTCCATCACCTGGCTGTGGGCTCCAGCTCACCTTCAGTGAAGCCCAAAACTGAATTTGTACCTCAGTCAGAGCTTTATTGGGGTGAACCCACGGTTTGTTCCTGAGGTTGAATCCTAAAAACGACCCCAAGTCAATGCCTGCCCCAGCTGTTTTTGACCGAGACACAGTTGAAGTCCTTGGGTCAACCATGGAGACCCAATCCCCGACCTAGGTGAGCCAAGGAGGAGGGAAGAGTCATGAGGAAGACAGGAGCTTAAGCCAAGCAACAAAGAACAAGAGCTAGACAGGAGGATGTGGCCTCTGGCGTCCTCTGCTCAGCAATTAATAGTTGGGAGATCCTTGACTGACCTGCTGCTGGTTGTGGTCCCATGGGCATGTCTGCAGCCTCACTGCCCACGTTTGCCTGTGGGGACAGAGAAAACGACCTCTTGCATATGGCCTCAGTAGGTTGGGGCCGAATTCCTGCTTTAGATCTGAACGAGAAAGTGGCTGAAATTGGAAGAGGCTGCTCTCCTGCCCTGCCAAGAGCACTTGCTGCCTGTCCCAAGCCTCTGAGATGCTCCTGAAGGGTTGCCATGCTGGTGCCCACGGCTGATCTGGTCTCAGCCCCCTCGGTGGGGCGAGACCTGAGTCTGCTTCTCATCAAGTCGACAGGCCATCTGATGCTCATCCATCTTCCTGGCTGTTGGCTATGGAGTCCACATCGTGTATAAGCAGACACACTCGCTGGGGGCGAAGCTAAGACCCTACATCCAAGCCCTGCAACTCCTCCAGCCCTCCCCATCCCCTTTCTGATGTCCTTTTGTGCAGTGGACCCATGGTATGTCACCCACAGCAGCTGTGTCCAGAGGTTGTTTGCTGGTCACCAAACATCAAACTGAAAGCAGAAGATTCAGTTCCCCTTCATCTACTGGACTCCATGTGATGCAAGAGCCACCGGGAAGCCAGGGGACAGAGCAGCAGGGAAAGCATCCTCTCCCAGCTGCCTTCATCAGGTCTTCAGCATATTTCTTCTCCAGCTGGTGATGGTGGACCTGATCTCAGCCTCTGCCAAGCCTACCTCTTCCTGCACCCCTGCCAGGCTAGGAGCAGCTTCCCCAAAAGTCCTGTGCTGTCAGCTGGACACCCTATGGACGACAGACTGTCCACCCACGCTGGGCTTGGGGCCATAGAGATCTTCCTTGTCCTAGCAGGGCTGTGTGGTGAGTGCTCTCTCATTTCCCCTGCTTTTCCCCCTCCCCAGTGCTGGTTGCACGCCGCATTTTGGCATGCCACAGTGCTGCCACTCCTCTTCATTTCTGGGTGGTTTGATTGTGGTTGCTGCAAATTTGTAATGTGCACGCTTAGAGCAACACCCATGGTTTCATGGTTAAAGTGCACATGTATACCAACACCCGTGGTTTCACAGTTTCTTAGGGTTCTCGTGTAGACCAGCACCCGCGGTTTCATGGTTTCTTATGGTTCTTGCGTAGACCAACACCTGTGGTTTCATGGTTTCTTAGGTTTCTCATGTAGACCAATACCCGTGGTTTCATGGTTTCTTAGGGTTCTTGCATAGACCAGCACTGATGGTTCATGGTTTCTTAAGGTGCATGTGTAGACCAACACCCACAGTTTCATGACTTCGTAAGGTGCTCGTGTAGAGCAACGCACATGGTTTCATGGGTGCTTCTGCAAGTAGGGTAGATGCAGACCTGCCAAGCCCAGCTGCAACAAGCAGCCTTCCTCCAGCTGATGGCTGCAGAAGTCTTGAGGCTCCCTCAAAAGTGCCAGTATCTTCTAGAAGGTGCGTGCCACGAGGTGCGGAGAAATTTTTACGGCGGTAGAGTCGCACAGCACATTATGAATAAGCAGTGAAAAGTGGGAAAGGTGTAGAAACCCAGGGCACTGAGCATGTCGCTGCCATTTCAGTAGTGCTGATGATGGGCTATGGAGCTTGAATGGCCAAAAACCGAGGAATGGGCTTTTACCTGCCCTGTGACGGGGAAGGAAGTATCATGGTGCTGATGCGCTTGGGTCAGGCTGATCTGAGGAGGCAGGATGGGTGCTTGCAGAAAATAAGGAAGCCCTTTGCTCGGCTCCATTCCTTACCCTGGGGTCAAGGCTGTTCATCCAGCAGAGCCAGGTTAGAGCCGTGGGTGCAGAGTCCCTGGTGCCTTGTGCTCTGGCTGCAGAGTCTTCCTCAAAATCCCTCCCACAAAAAGTCTGCGACTCAGTCACTCATGCTGCTGTTGCGCTTGGGGAGTTCATCCTGCAACCTGTGCAGAGCCAGGCAATCGAAAAGCAATTAGCAGTGCACTTAAAAAGCAATTAGCAAAATGTCTTCATGTATTTTGGCCTTCCTGGTTTTGAAGGACTGTATTCTCAGCTGGAGGAGCCTGGAGCTTGCTCAAGGGCCGGGTGCCATGCGTCCTCCTGAAAACACAATAAAATTATAATTGTGTCTTTCTCTGTCTCTTGCTGGTTCTTTCCCATTCCTTTTGGCCAAAAAGTGTCAAGATGCTTTCCCAGCTGCTGCCTGGCCTCTTCTTTGGCATGACTTCTCATTGACATCTCCTTCCCTTTGCTCTCCATTGTCACCAGTGTCAGGTCCTGCTGACATAAGGCTGGTGAATGGCCCTGACTCCTGCACGGGCCAGCTGGAGGTGTTGTACAACGGCACCTGGGGGACAGTGTGTGATGACCACTGGGACCTCGACGGAGCCCGCGTGGTCTGCCGGCAGCTGGGCTGCGGGATGGCACTGTCGGCCGTTGGCGGGGCTCGCTATGGGCAAGGAGTAGACCCCATCTGGCTGGACAACGTATGCTGCGCCGGGACGGAGGCCACCCTTTCCGAGTGCCGGGCACAGCCCTGGGGAGCCCACAACTGCAAGCACGGGGAAGATGCCGGCGTCGTGTGCGCGGGTGAGGAACATGTACCCACCGTGGCTTGCATCAGCCGCTGTGGACAACCAAAGGGTTAAACAGCACGCAGGACAACCATCTCGCCCCTTGCTGTTGACTGGTCGCCACTCCTTGTTGACTGGTCGCCTCTTCTTGTTGACTAGTTGCCTCTTGCTGTTTACTGGTTGCCCTTTGTTGTTGACTGCGTGTCCTCTGATGGTACAGTGAGTGTAGGCAACCAGCTCACAGACAGACATGTACCTATGGCCAATGGCAGGCAGGACCCTTAATTTTGAGCTGGATGTTGCCCCTGTAGGTAGGCAGAATTACTCACTTCCTACCTAATTTTGTGAAGAATTAGCCTCTTCACGCCGTTGCTTCAGGCAACTTCCAAATGCTGTTCTGACCTTCCAAAGCTCTCCACATCTCCTGGCATCGAGGCTGCAGCTCCCTGGCCATTTCTCAGCCCAGGAGCCTCCTGGCTTCACGGGGTTGAATCCCTTCATGGGCACAGCCTGTTGGATGCCACCCAGGCTTGCTGGGCAGGAGACTCTGCTCCTAAGTATTGCCAGTGATGGCATGCCCAGCAAAATCTCTGACCATTTGCTCCCTGGGGCTGTTTGCAGGGGCACCTGCTCCAGGTTCAACCCCTATCAGGCTGGTGAACGGCTCAAGTTTCTGCTCCGGCAGAGTTGAAGTCCTCCACAATGGCAAATGGGGCACCGTGTGCCATGACAACTGGAGCTTGATGGACGCCGAAGTGGTGTGCAGGGAGGTGGGCTGCGGCCAAGCACTGTCAGCTCTGTTCAGGGCTGCCTTCGGGCAGGGGTCAGGACCCATCTGGCTGGATGAAGTAAGCTGTGCTGGGACGGAGGCTGCCCTTTCTCTGTGTCGAGCCCGGTCC